GTGGCCTTCTTCTTCTTCTACTATGTCTGGTTGGTTGGCCATTACCAGTTTGTCAGTTTGTATCTGGAAGTCCCACAGGATCTTAGCTTGGTCATGCTCAACTACCTTTGGAGGTGTATCCCATTTTGACTTGAGAGCTTCCAGGGGCTACGGTGAACGGATACGTTCTAGTAGTTGTAACTTTGTTGTTGTGTTTACTACTCAAGTTGTGTACAGAGTTTATGTGGAAACAAGTGGAATAAGATGTTTAAAGGCACCTAGTAATAGCCTGAGTAAACCAAGAATTGAGTAATGTATACTATTGCTGTCAGGTAATTAGTAAAGTAAGATAGTTAATTTTTCAATGAGTAATGTGTAATGAGTGGAGATGTCCGTGTCCATTTTGGTGCTGATCTGGGCATATTTCACAGTATCAGTACAGGCCAAAATAAAGCTGATCAAATCATTATTTAGAGCTTCAGTCTTGTATTTGAGCAGACCTGGTAAGTTTATTGCTTTTGTCCAGTGGTGCTACAACAGCTGCCGCCTTTTGTTAATGGAGCATTATTAAACTGTCAAACGGGGTTATCTAATCTGGACCGGTTACACAAACTGTGTTCACATACAAATACAAAGCAATAGTTAGTATCTGCATAATGGAACTGTAGTTCTGAGACTGTGGTGTCAGCTCCCAGCTATTCTTTTATTTAGATCAACAATTTAAACTAATAATATTAATATTTTAGAAGCAAGATCTGATCCAGTATTTGAATCAATCATCCTATCATCCTTTAGTAATGAATAATTGATTGTAGCATGATACCTAAATTTGAAAATGTTCTTGTTTGAATGGTAGTTGCTGGGGAAAAAAAGAGGAAAGCCAGCCCATTTCTGAGCTCTTGGTCATCTCAGAGGGAGACGTAAAGGAGAGTGAAACCTGAGGCTGCGCACCAGGCATGCATACATGTATGTAAATGGCCTCATTTCAAGCGAGTCCTAAAAACCCTTTACAGCAAAATTGGATGCAGATGAGCTGGGATCCTTTTTCGATTTTAACTATGAATTAGCCCATTATGACTATTATTATTATTTTTGACACTGGTATATATGTCAAACATGAAATGTTATATAGATGTTGCATGCATTCCCCTCATTTCTTTCATGAAGATGTGAGAACAGGGCTGTAAAGCAAGATACTTTTGTCCCCTAAATCAGTTCAGTCAAATCCAGCTGAGTTAATATGAACTGTAAAAAAGAAAAAAACTGAATGCAATGATGTTCTTGTTAGATTTTAATAATTATTCCAGTGTTTTGAAGTGAATATGAAAACACACATAAGCTTTGCATGAACTGGCCTGAACTAAAAAAAAAAACTCACCACCAACTATATGATGCAACTTCTCTAATGAGTACTTGGCCAGATGGAGTCAAAATCAACTACAATTCCTGTGTTCATGATGATGAAGTGCAATTGTAGCTCGCTGATGAAATAAGCTAAGACTGTCTTTCAACAATGACAAAACAAGATGTCCTCCTTGCATTTATACCATTAATTATAAGATGTTAGCTGCCAAAATTGGAGCTGATCCCTAGCTGTGATGTTTTTTGTTTTGTTTTGTTTTTTTTTTTTGTTTTTTTTTTTGCTGTGCAGAAGTAATGTGTCACTTTTCCTTTGGCCTAAAAGATAAACATGGAATTTAATTCAACTGATAACTCTTATTTAATAGTGCCTGTATAAATTAAATTACATATAAACTATTAAGGAGCTATAGTATTTATGATTTCCTGACAAGATAGATCCCCCCCCTCAAAAAAAAAAAATTTTTATTGAGTCTGAGGTGGCATAAAGGAGCGGCCATGCAGGATTCCCTCTCCCAGGCCAGTACCACCAGTGTTCCCAGTGTGTGCAGTGCAGTATTTCAGGCAGTGAAGGAGTTAACAATACTATGTATTGACTATACTCGTGGGTGGGCGGGGGGTGGTTAAATGTGCTGAGGCAGGCTGCATCCCAGCCCTCATCCACCTCCAGCCCCATCTCTCTCACCCTCTATCTGCCTGTCTGACCCAGCTATATTGCAAACACACTCATCAAATGTGTGTAGACACACACAAGTATACATGTGCATGATGCAGAAGCATCATTGTGTGTGTGTGTGTGTGTGTGTGTGTGTGTGATATACATTGGCAAACTAATTGTAGAGAGTGAAACATAACATACTAGATTCTCACTCCGCACAACTACATATATATGTGCACAGACTGAACGTGGCAGCCTACAGTATTCCCTCTGCACTATAGCAGTACAGCGGGCCAGACCAGCTCAGTCAACCCAGCAAATACACACCGCCACAAACAAACATCAACACACATACATACACCCCTCCTCCCTCTGCAGAGAAGGAAAACAGAGGGAACAAAAGAACAAGAAGAGAAACAGCAGCTCCAGTTTAGCTGTTTTTGTGTCTTTTATTTCTCTTCCTCTCCCTTCTCGCATCTTAGTTTACACAAGTGGTCTAAACTGTGCTTTGTTTCGACGGCTATCTTGCCTCTTACCCCCCACATGCACCACCGCTGAACCTTCAGCTTCCCTCTCCTCTACGCTCCCAGTGCAACTTAATGAAACCAGCTAGTATCGATGGCTTTTTAGCATAGGCAACAAGCTGTGCTGCACCCTCTTTCTCTCTTTTCTCCCTGCTCTCTGCTTCTCCCTTCCTCTCTCTCTCATCTAGTATTGCCTTGCCTCCCTCGTTCCGGCTCCTCCATTGGTTTTCCCAGAACTTCTATGCAGCCTGTCAAATCCTCCACATCCCAGAGTGTATCTGCAACCCCAGCATCCCTCCACCAGCTCCTCTCTTTGTCCCTCCTTCTCACTTCTCTCTCTTTCTTTTTTCACTTCT